GATAAAACTAGAGATTTGATTAAATTGTGCTGGACATTTTTCACAATTTTATGATATTTTAAAGACAAATTAATTAATTAATTATAATGAAAATAACTTAATTTTAACCCTAATGTTTTAAAATTCATATGAAAGACTGCATTGTTTCACATGATCATAATAACAGCAACCACACATGAAATACAAAACCCAACTAAGACCTGGAAAACCAGTAAGTTACTGTAAATAACTGAAAGCAGGACACTCTGCATCCCCATCCACACCAGATTTTACTGTGCAAATATAAATTAACCTTTTTCTGAACAGAAATTTTGACTGTAGGGAAAGCACAGGTGTTACTAAGGATATTAACAAGGTCTCTGTTTTATTTAAGTGAGTCATTACAGCAGCACAATACAAGGGCCCTGAAACTTGAGCAGCTAAATGGAATTTAGCTTCATTCATTTCATTATTTACACCAGTACCTTTCCTCCTCTGACACGTTCTAATGTCTTCTGTAAAAAAAGGCCATTTAAAAATACTAGATAAAAATTATAATAATGTGCGCAAGTCCGCAAACATTCACCATTAATCACCCCTGCAGTTTTTCTTCTTTTGAGAACCTCCTCTTTAAAACGAAGCATATACTGTTGTATCCCTGAGGAAGAACAGGTCTGGACCAGCAGCAGCAGTCATTACCACGATGTCTCTCTGAAAAATGTGCTGCTTGCTACAAACAGTACCAGCTCTGCCACACTAATAACACCAATCCAGTGCCAGAGCAGCTGTCAGACAGGTCAGAGCTGAGAATCCCAGGACTGCTGAAATCTTACCACAGCTCTTTTAATCTGCTCGTAGCTCACAAACATCACAATGTTCCAGGAACCCAGACGAAGATACGAGGGCATAAATCTATAAAAATAAAAATTGATTAATCAAGAAAAATGGCAAATTATCATTGACTTATTGCTTACCATTACACTACGTACCCCTTATAGAAAGCTGTGGGTCCCTCTTTAACCAGCATTGTTAAGGCACAGTTAATGGCACCACTGTACTGCCCAGGCACTGAATTCATGTAGCGCGTTTTCACCACATCCACTGGAGATGCTACAATGGTGGTGCAGAAACCTGCCGCGAAGGCTGCTGTGAAGTGACACGGCATGTTGTCTGTTGAAAACAAAACATTTATTTTAGTTATTAAAAGCCACAAAGACAAACAGGAATTATTATTAAGAGGGTTTAATCTGAAGTGTTTGAACTTGCCCATCATCAGGTTGTGCTTCAGGATGAGCTCTTTGATGAGGTCATAAGTCACCAGCTCGGAGCAGTTTACGATGGCATTACGAGTTATATTTGGCAGACAGCCTGAAAAAATTATTTTACATTGTAAACAATCAAATTCAACCTGAGGAACCTTAAAACTCCAAAAGAAAAGGAAAAAACAACAAAAAAAAAATACTATGCAACAGATATCCTTTTTATTCCTCACATTCTTCTTCCTCGTCACAATTTGTCACCTACATTACCCACAATGCAACTTAATTGCTGACACTTCTGTCAAAGAGTTGGGTGTGTTGTACAAGTAGTGGTTAGAGTAGCCTCGAGCTGCTGGCTCCAAGTACAGACGAAGAGCAGCCTAAGGAGGTCTGGCCACTCTTTTCACATATGCAGCATTCTTCAAGACTTCTACACAAACTTTGACGTGTACAATCAGTGGAGTTCCCCTTTAAGAATGGGTATCTTTAGTTGAACATCACTTACAAAACTTTGTACACTTTTAACTTGATTACTAAAACTTAAACATTGTAAAAAAACACTAAGTGATGCTTAACATTTAGAAAATTAGAGAAATAATTACAAATGTCATTTATTTCCCCACTTACCTTTCCAGAGGCCTCTAACCCCCTCGTCCCTGGCTATGGTCTTGTAGGCGTCAATCGTGCTGTTGTACCTCTTCACAGAGCCGCTCTCAGGCAGGCGGACCTGAGCCTGGAACCTGACTTTCACCACATCAGTGGGCTGAGCGAAGGCCACCGCCATCGCCCCCGTGGTGCAGCCCGCCAGCAGCCGCGTCCCGATTCCTGCATCTGTGATACGAGGAATGCATGAAACTCTTGCTTTCCTCTTATGTCACAAGCAAATGAGAACAGTGATTAGACAATGAACAGGTGTGCAGATAATGATGACCATGATTAACGAGTGGAGTTAAATAAACACAAAAGCAGGTTAAAGGGTTTAAGACTGCAGCAGTTTACTTTAAGGATACAAAATGCAAAGACAAAAAAACACTGGTTACACACTGGACCTTTAACAAAATTGCACAATACTCCATCTGCTGTTGGAAAACCAGCTGGGATATGAACTGTGATAGAACATAAACACGATTTACAATTCGACATTTAGCTAAACATATTTCAGTCTCTCCACTAAATGACTGTAGAAACATTTTGTCACATACTCTCAGACCCCCTGCTGTAGAACTGCTTCATGGTGTCATACAGGCCAATGCGGACTGAGGCGAAGCTCATCTGTCTGTGCAGTCCTGCCACCAGTCCGCTGTACAGGCTCCTCGGGCCCTCGGTCTTTATCATGGTGAAGATGGTGCCAAAAACACCTTTGTATCTCGCTCTCTGGGCTCCCAATGAGGGTTTGGATTCACCTTGAATCTAAAGTAACACAAATCCACAATAAAATACATTACAAATCCCTCACAGCAGATGCTTTGGAGACTGAATGAGTTTCTCAACAGTTTAATAAATAAATCAGTATCTTGTGTTTATATGCATATTAGCAGTTTCCTTTTCTGTTTGTTTTTTTTACATGTCTGGTTTAACATGTAGCAACATGCACTCAAGTGTGTCATCATATGCAACCAGCAGGGCTGCAAATATTGAGAACACTGAGGTCTTGTTCCTGAGGAGGTGTTTGAGTTCACAGTTACACATAAAGTACACATGATGAGTTTTTCTGATGCCAAGAATCAATATCTTTATATGTGGCTATTTTTATTCCAACAAATACATTGAAATTTAGTCATTTTGCACGAGAATTATATCCTGGCATTGCGTAAAGTGCTTTAGCGGCATTTAAGCCATCATGTAGGGAGATGAAACGTACAGAAAATACAGTTAAACTTTATACGGATGTTATAGGTGGCTGGTCACAATATAGAGTTAAATTATCCTCACCTGCAGCCTGACTTTGGCTGTGTCCAGGGGGAAAGTGACCAGGTCGGCCACACAGCCAGCTGTTCCAGCTGAAAAGACCTTGACAGCGGCTGTTGGTGCCAGATCGGCGCTTCTTCCACCGACCATGATCAATGATTGAGCTCAGAGGATCAACAAAGTCAACAAAACTAAATAAAAACTGAGCCCATAAATCAATAAGACACAAAGCACATTCTGTTCCGTGTCCGCATTAAAGCACTATACAATTTAAACATCTGAACAAACTAATGACATGACAGATCCAGCCAACGTCAAGTTTCAGGTATTGAAAAGTTTGTATTTTGAAAACCTCTACTTGTGCCATTAGCCATAAAAAAGCTCCCCACTCTCATACCACTTTAAATTGCAAAGAAACAAAACAACAACAGCCAGCCTCCTCAATCAACCGCAAACATCCGCAATGTGAGCGACAAAACCGAAGCCGCGGAGCTCAGAGAGTCCAGCCCCTCCTGCACACTTGCTGATTCCTCTATAGGAGGCTGCTGCTGCACCGCCCTGCAGGGAAACCAGACACACCACATGCTAATGAATTGCTACACACCTATGGGAGGGCCAACAGGGAATCTTTCCGGCTCATCATGATTTACCTGCTCTTAAAACCCACAAACACCAGTCATAATAATAAAAGCCATCCTGCATTAAAACATGTGCACTCATTTAATCTCCTAATACCTTGTTTATGGTCTTGTGGGTGTTGGACAATTGTTCTGAGCTGGTCTTACAGCCACCACAGGAGTGTCTGCTACCAGCTGATGAGGATCCAGTTGAAGAGTAAAGAGAGAACACAAGTGTGCTTCTCATCTGCAATCAGATACCGGTGGGTGTCCTCTGCCCTGCGGTCTCAGGGGGGCAGTAATGAGCCCACAATGAGCCGAAGAAGATGCAGCACTTAAAGTATTTGCTTGGAAAAGGTGACATTTAGGATTTAGGAGATACATTATTTTTAATATTTACAAAAAAGATTTTGGGGAAGAAAACAAACTGGTTGTTTTGGCAAATAAACCTCCAGCCCAGTCCCAATTTCACAATTATACTGCAGCACATAAAAGTTTGTTGCATTTTTAAATCTTTACCATTTTAATAGGCACAATCCACTGATCAGGTGACTTGTTGTAGCGAATATTACTTGAGCTGAGGAATAACTTGGGCAGTGTCATCAGCGTTATCTCGGCTTTGGCCTCGACAATACAACTTTTGAATGGAAACCTTTTGCCTCACAAAAAAAAGTCAATTTTTACTTTATGCAGCGCTTGTTTTGCTCTTGTTAACATTATTTACAAACACATAATCATATACATGGACATACATACACTGTTTTGTATTATTCTGCAATGCACCTGCAACAGCAATTCCAATATACTGAGTTTTATCACCAAACTGGAAACTATGAAGTCTCTTTAACAGCAACACAGCACATTCTCCTGCTCACATTGTTAACATGTAAATGTTTCCACTGTACTTTAAAGATGTGCTGTAAATGTGCAAACGTGTTGACTTGTGTTGTAGTTTTGAGCTGTTTCGCCTTCCGAGTTTCCTAGAAGCAGGTTCTGGTGTCACACACAAAAAAAATCATATCAACAAAATTCAAAAAGGCATCCAGTGTTGAAAACAGTTAATATTTATTTATAAAAATACAAAATGTTACAATTAATTTACATGATCTTTTAAACCTTGGAGCAGTCTAAATGTGATCATAAATGTTTAGCAAACAAAGCCACCATGTTCTACTGACTGTCATCGAAGTGGGCTGCAAATATTTTTGCTATTCTTTCAGTCTCTTTCTTCCTGGATGATGGCGACATGTCGCGGCGCTGTCGAGGACCTCTGCGATGTGGAACGGTGTAAACTGGAGAGCTTTGCTCCTGGGAAGATCACAGCCAAAACACACCTACAATGTGAGTGCTGCAATACAACTACGAGCCTAAGAATACTATTGTATATTTATTATTGTATATTTACTATTGTACTTAATAAACAGGACAGCAGGTGTATTGAGGTAACATACTAAAAAGGCGTGACTCAAAACAAACATACTAATTAGTCAAACGGTATTTTATTGTGTGTCTGATTGTGTGTCTGTGTCACACGAGTCACCACTCAAACATAGCAAGCCCTTCTTTGGTTAATGTTCATGTTAATGTGTATACTGTTAGAGGGGCTTGTCTCGGGTCCATCTGGAGTACACAGTGTACAATCTGGAGATCAGCGACCATAACTAGCTTGAACCGGTTCTTTAAAAGCACCATCCTGTAAACACAGACACATCACCGCCCACCTCAAACTCAAACACCTACATGAACGTCTGGTTACTCCACACCCTCTTTGTAACTGGATCCATGGTGTGGAACACTGGAGTGACGCAGAAATACTTTTCCATCTCAACTGACTGGGAATCACAGCTCACAACTGTGTGACTCTGTGGACTACCCTGGACAAATATGTGTGCATAATATTAACGTGCTTCCTCAGTTTTGAAAATGTAGAGTCACCTGATATGACTCCAGTACATTTTAATGAGGCAGCAATTTGGCTAAAGATGATGGTTACCATGTTAACTGCAGACCAAGCCTACTAGTTCATGGAGTAAAATGTTGAGGCACTCTGTACACACACACACACACAGACACACACACACCTGTGTGCCTTTCTAAACCATGTCCAATTCATTGAATTTACCACCAATCAAGTTTTACAGATATTTAAGAGGATAATCAAAGCAAACAGGATGCATTTGGGCTCAGGTTAAGAGTTCATTAACTTAAAAGATTTTACTTTATGATTTAAAATAAGAAATTTAAAAACATATTGCATTATGGATTATTGTGGCAACGTCTGTGCTCATGTTGCACTGGTATACAGCATTAAAGACAAGTATTACAAGTAAAATTACTAACATAGCATAACTAAAATAATCTTAGTTCGCTCTTTGCAGGGACAGACTACAATTGTATAGTGAATATAATAAGGTTAATAAGTTATTTTATATATTTGTATTATGCAATTTAAAAGTCACAACCTCAAGATGTGACACTTCAAAAACAAAACCACCTGTTACCAGTGTGGTTTTACTGTGTAACAATTTTTGGTTGGCACAGATGCCTGAGCCCTGACTGTTGAGTAAGGGGTTAATACTCGGGGCAGCGGGGGGGCGTTTGGTTCTTGCAGTAAAACCGCCACCGCAGACCTTTGGTTACATCACAGTAGTGTCCTTAAATAGAGTGTGCTGGAGGTGACAGATGGGATACAAACACACATTATTCTTTGTCAACTCCTCTCTCAAAGATAAAAGGCTACGGACATGACGTACGTAAATGTGACAGAGAAAAATGTGTTGCTGCTCAAACACTGTGAAAGAGAACAATGATGTAACAATGATCCTAAACTAGTGTGCACAGCACCTTTTTTAAATATTTGTACAAGTCAGATTGTATAATAATGGGTGGACCTGAAGCTGTTAATGTTGCACAAATGGGAATTAAATTGCACTGAACTTAAGTTGGTACATAGCGTCACTATTCTTGACTGGCCTCTGTTCAGCATGTGAAGCCTAAAGTGACCTATTAATAACACACTGCTTTTGCATTGCAGTTGGCTCCTGATATCAACTAGAGATTCTCCTCTGTTTAATGTCTCATTTGTCAAACAATCTCTCCTTCCACCAGGACTGCATGTAATACAAACTAAAAGGTTAGAATTAATACCAAGATATTCGGGTACTCAGTGAGAGAGCGAGTGAAAAGTAAAGGGGGAAAAAGAGCGAGTGAGTGTGTATGCCAGAAGCAGATTCGGTGACAAATACTCACCGGGTCACTGGTGGACTGGGAGAAACAAGGAGCTAATCGGATGGCTCTCATAGATGCCTCCAGTTGGTGAGAGGGGAGGAAGAAATTGGGGACCTCTGCAGGGACCGAGCTTAATGTATGAATGTTAAAGTAAATATTCAGTGTTATGATATCCTACAAGATTAAATAAAAAAAGGACAAAAAAGGACATTTCAAACTCATTTAAGAACGTCAAACAAACAGTGTTAATGATTTTTTTATCGTAATACACGGTCAAACTGCATCACGTGATCAACCAGTGAAGGAGGGTGGCCGCCTTCATCTGTTCATGTGATCATTACTGCACATCAAAGACACAAAATGGATGCGGATCCGGCTTTGAGTGTTACAACGGGGAAAAAAGGAGGCAGAAATCTATGCATCATCTCTTACCATCACATCATGTTACTACTGGCAAAAGCCAACAGCCAAAAGTAACCAAACTGTAGTTGTCAAGTTGATTTAATACCAACACCAAACAAATATATCACTGCTATTACATTTGAGACTGATCTATCTAATCCTATTGATGTCAGGGTGCCGATAATGACCTAATTCACATTTCGGATATCAGACTGACGTCACTGACGTCCATGTATCAATCCAGATTCCATAGTCTGCTAGTTTTATGAATTATAAATATTAAATAATGCAGTGTTACAGCCTGCCAGATCCACCTAGCTAAGACTGATGCAGTCTAATACAACAGTCCTGCAGTAAATGCTCCCCTTGTGAAGGTTATAATGTCCAGTTTTTGTTGATTCAACTTTCCGCTCACTTTGGAGGCTGCAAGTTGTGGTGCTGTTGAACTTCTGTGCATTGTACAGGGAGGTGTTTCTGTTTTTTAGCCTGCCAGTATTGATATTAAGGAGAGTGGGTCAGCATCACAGCACCACAAGCTGCAAAGTGACCCTGTGTAGTGTCATGAAGAGCGGGACGATCTAAGCTCCCTGCGAGCTGAAGGATAATTAACACAGTGAACTAGTTTTGTCCTGAATCTTTGATCTTAAGTAGCCTTCTACAGCAACTAATAACAGCACAAACTAATCTGACAGCCAGAAAGACAACAACAAATACAGATTAAGGATACGTTTGGATCGGAGTATCTGGATTGTCCAGGGAGCATGAAGCATCATGGGTATCAGTGGCGTGCTGTGTGGTGTGTGATGAACAGTCACCTGACCCCTCATTGGGGCTGTTGGCCTCTTCTGCTTGTCTCTCATCTAAAGTTTGTAGGGTCCTTTCATCCTCTCTGTCGGAAGCGTCTCCTGCTGAGCTACAAAAACTGTCAGGTTCCTCTCGTCCGTGTTCCCCACCACCGTCATGAGTTTGCAGATTTAACATCTCCCTCTTCTCGTCCTCGTTTTGGCTCAGATCCGGCTCGTCTGGTGCTTCCATGCTCTCCAGAGACACCAGGTCAGGGTCTGACAGGATGCTGGTCCAAGGGCTGGTTTTATCTGTGAAAGAGGTCACCTCATTGAGAGGCCTCGGCTTGACCACAACCTCATCGTAATCTTCATCCTCCTCCTCCTCCTCCTCATCATAATCAGCTTCCTTGTCCCGTCTGCAACCGGTCCCATCTTCATCTCTGTCCGTTCCTTCTTCGTTTTCATCCTTGGACTCAGTAACCTTGTGGTCTCGTCTATCCTTTTCTTCTTCGGGCTCAGAGTCTGTGTGGTCTTCAGACATCTTTGACACATCTTCTTGGGAGGAATTTGAAGCTCTGCGTGGACTGGAGGTACTCTCAGGGATAGTTTGAGGGTTGTTGTCTCCAACAGGGGAAGTTGTTGAGCTGCTCTGTGGGTCTG